AAGTTAATATGTCTTTGCTACACACTGCAGCATCACACTCAACACATGCTGCATGAACTGTTGAGACAAATACAGTTCGGAGCCCTTCAGACAAACTCTGAGATGATCACAGGTTCAACTGTTTGACATATGTCCCGCTGTATCCATGGCAACGACTCCAGTCCTCATCTGAAGCCTCTGGACCACCAGGATCCATGAGAACCTGCGAGAAAGCACAAGAACTCAGAGGAAGAAGTGAAGTTAGTAACATGCATTAATGGGACATGAATGAGTGCAGAGAGAGAGAGAGAGAGAGAGAGAGAGAGAGAGAGAGAGAGAGAGAGAGGAAGAGAGGAGCTTTGATTGTTTCCAACCTCAAAACCTCTGCAGGGAAGCATTATACTATAGGACTACAACTACCATGTACAGTCAGAGGGCTTCCCACAGCTGTTGTCACGGGCTCCACCTCCCTCACAGATGTCACCTGGTGGTTGCTGGAGCACACAACAACTCCTGAGTGTTAGAATGAAAAGTCAGATGAACTTCAGCGCCCTCTGCTGGTACTGAAGTTATGATGGCGGCGCGGATGTTACTGAGTGGCAGAATAAAATGAGACTATTGTACTTTTTACTGCACTACATTTATCTGACAGCTGCAGTTACTCTAAAAGAGTTCAAATGATCTCCACCTTGACTTCTAAAACAATAAAATACTTGTTACACATGAATGCATCAGTAGTAACAATCCAATGCTATCTTATATAACAGCGTAACACTCACAGGGCACACTGGGAGTCACCAGCAGGTTTATTTCTTTAAAACTTTATTGAACAAGAACAACAGACAGAAAGCATACACAATGGTGACATCACAGTGACATCAGGACAAGAATATTAAAGAAAACGGAATAAATTAGATAAATTGAAGGTTTTAAAAACTTCTTAGAGTAAAAACATTGTTTTAATGTTCAGTCAAAGACTGTTTGTGATTGGAAGATTCATGAATATGTGTTTTTGCCAACAATAAAATCAAATGAATAATATAGAAGTCATTAGCTTCAGCAGAGGAAACGCTGACATCATGACAAAGTGACAGAAATATTCAGTTCACTAAAACAACAACTAACATCAACGTCCTGTTTATATTTCTGCACAAACACTTTGGGAGGAAAATTAACTCAAATTGAAATTTTACACAAATAATGACACAAAAAATCTTAAACTTAAATCAGAAAATACACAAGAAAAAAACAGTGGAGTAGAGCTGTTTGACGTCAGACTTATGTGACACCATCTCTACTATAATAATGACTACATGTCAGTTTGATCACTTTTATATTTGTTCATGAAATGATTCTTTATGGAATGATTGATTTCCTCACTACAGCTGCTCCACAAGTTCACCTCTTTAACTGAAGTGATTTCTGTCCTTAAACCTGCAGATCCTCTCAAATTATTTGGACTTTCTCTCATTTCAAACAACTTCTGGACTCTTTCAGCTCGTCATTAGTTTCTGACTTTATACCTGATCTGTGCTGTTTGAAAATCCACCAACTCTCTGAATTTACAGCCTTTCATTGAATAAACAGCTGAATTGGTTCTTGCTCGGTAGTTTGGTTTACACTTCTTATGTCTCTCTTTTTAAAAGTAAAAATCTGATTTTTGTTTGTTTTATATGAGTTTCCTCAAACGAGCACACAGTCAGTGATGTATGGAAGTAGAAGTGAACAATACAAAGTGGAGAATGAAGCTGGATTTAATAAATCCTTCGATTTTATACAGTGTTGGGATCCATTTGGAGAGTTTTGCTTTGACATCATTTAGATGTGGTTTTCAGCATCATTTATTATCTAGAATAATCCCAAAACTTTGATTTCTTTTGATTTCAACCTGACTTATCAAAGTTTGTACATTTGTTCCATGATGACCAAAGATGATGAATTTAGTTTGTTCAAATCAAAGCCACTCTTTACACCTTGGACTTTAAAGAAAACAAAGTTTTAGACTCAAACTGAATATTTGTTCACACTTTAATATTTGAGTCATAAAAACACTTTCCCTCTAACTGTGGGTTAAAAAAAAAGATTTGAAAATCAAGCAGCCACATTTGATCGATGATTGATTGATGAGTTATAGAAGATCAATTCTTTCAATCATTTCCTTCATCTCTACGTCTGCAGGCTGCACTTTACCCTCACTCATGATCCCTTCATCCCACCATCCTTTGCTCTTCTCTTCCTTCAGCCTCCTTTTCCTCATCTATTACAGTAAACACAACAGGTTGGTACTAACTAACATCAGCTGTGTGTGATCCTGTACAGACTGAACTATCTGGTCAGCAGTGAGAAAGTTTGTCTCTCCCTCCTACAGAGGACACAGAGACACTGAGGAATCAGACCAGAACCTGAACCCGAACCCAGGATAAAGAGGTTCAATGAATGTGGTGTTGAAGGTGTGGAGGTGGATCAGTGTGTCAGAGGAGACTCTGTAGAAGGACAGAGTGCCAGCAGGACAGTCCACATACACTGCTACTCTACCAGAGGAGGAGGAGGAAGAGGAGGAGGAGGAGGAGATTAATGTTTTTCTGTTATTGTGACAGACAGAGTAACCACCATCAGAACACTCCAGACTCCAGGACTGATCATTCCTTCCAAAAAAACAATCTGTGCTGTTTCCTTTCCTGTTGATTCCTCTGTAACTCACTGATATAGAAACCCATAGTCTCCACTCGACCTCCCAGTAACAGCGACCAGTCAGACCATTTCTGCACAGCAGCTGAGGTCGGTAGTCAAATCTGTCTGGATGATCAGGATATGGCTGATCCTCCTTCACAACTATCACCTTCCTGTTGTTGTCAGACAGTTTGATCTTTCTGTTTACTGTGTTTGTGTCGACTGTGAGTTCACAGGAATCTGATGGAGAGAACAAGACACAATACAGCTGCAGTTATTGATCTATCATCTGATCATTGATTGACACTTTGATGATGACATCAGAGCTGTGAATGAGTGATGTCACAGTCTGAAGATGGTTGAATGTGTGCTGCTTTGTTTTCATGAATCAAATTAAAAACACACTTACACTTCCTCAGACCTGGTCTCAACCATCGGACTCCAGCAGGCTCCACCCTGAAAGGAGGAGGGGGGTCAGACCAGTACATCCTCTTTCAGCATGAAAACATGGACATTACATCACTGTCATAGACAGAGGTTATTCTCTACAAATGGACTTACATCTTCACATGGAACACTTATTATTCATCAGCTGATATTCTTTTAGTTAAGTGGAGCTTCTTATTGGCTGATTGTTACAGCTCATTTTTTTTACCTATTGATGATGATGTATTGTTATTTGCATTATATTGACAATCATCAAGTTCATCAAGTTCTAACATGATATCGACCAGCTGCCAGGTGCAACATGATCATCCCCCTGGAGATGTGTTTTTGTCACCTGCTAAATCTAAGTCCAATATTCACTCTCTTTAGCTCTGTGTTTGCTCTCTAGCAACTCCTGAGGGAAATATCTGGCTCTGTAGCTGCTAAATGCTCCACTGTGTTCACTACCTGCTGACCACAGTGTACAGTGGCTTTATCAGAGCTTGGTGGATGAAAACTTTTGTTGCTGGAAACCCTGAGACTGAACCAGATTCTTAATGTTCCACAAAACCAAAACTAGGAGATAAAAGAGACTAAAAAGCTCTGTGAAGTTGCAGAGGTCTAAACAATTATCCGTCAGTTTATCACACCACAGCACACTTCACCATTACACAGAGTCTCTTGATCCTTTGTCAATATAGAAATATTGATTGTTGGAGCTTTCAAATGACCATGTTTTGGGGCAAACAAGAGACTTCTTGTGTTTGTGTAATAATGACTGTTGTCTCTCAGAGGTAAAGGAGAATGTAGCCTGAAATTACTATGGAGCCTTAAAATCTCTGATGGAGGAGGTTGGGTGGATGGTTGGATGTACAAAGTGTATGACTTTGACACTGTTGTTCACATCTCTGTGTTGGATAATCCTGGGAACTGTTCCTGTCTGTGTTTATCCTCTTCATACCTGAGAGTGTCCAGTCTCCAGTTTGGATCCTCTAGTCCAGCAGACAGTATCTTCACTCCTGAGTCTCCTGGATGATTGTAGCTCAGGTCCAGCTCTCTCAGATGGGAGGGGTTGGAGCTCAGAGCTGAGGCCAGAGAAGCACAACCTTCCTCTGTGATCAGACAGCCTGACAGCCTGCAAACACACAGAACACATTACATAATAAACATGTTCATGGAAAGAGACTGAAACTAAATAAACAAAACAGGTGTCAAATCCTACAAGCAGAGACAATGTTATGGAATTTATGATTTTATCCACTTAAGCAATGTGGTGTAATTTTTCTACTATAAAATAACAGCTTTTTGATGTTACGCTGACTTGTACCAGGATGAATGGTTCCTCTGTACGCCTGTTCTTGCACAGTGTAATATTTGGTTTTTGGTTGGGCTTTCATGTGAATCAGAACATATGTGTTCATCAGTTGAACACATTGATGGATCCTGACCTGAGAGTTTCCAGTGTGCAGTGTGGACTCTCCAGTCCAGCAGACAGAAGCTTCACACCTGAATCCTGCAGGTTGTTGTTATTCAGGTCCAGCTCTCTTAGACTAGAGGACTGGGAGCTGAGAACTGAGGACAGAACTTCACAGCTTCTCTCTGAGAGGTTACAGCCACTCAGTCTGAAGAGACAGAATAACATTTGTATTATAATTAAATTACATTTGATAAGATATTCAAGGGATGATACAAGCTGTACATTATATGGTTGTAAACATATGATACAGTGGTTAGGAACCAACCAGTGTGAAGGGTTTAAAATCCAGGGTTTGAGAGCAGGAAATAAATGTACTAAATGTTCTCAATCTGAAGAACAGAGCTCTCCTCGTCTGTCTTTCCCTTTGTCACTCTCCACTCTCCACATCTCCTTATTTTATCTTCTGCTTTGGTCTCATTTCCTCTCCTGTCCTCTCTCCTGTCCCCTGCAGCAAACATTGCGGGGGTTGGACTATGAAAAAAAAACTGAATTTGCCTGTTATATATATTAAGTATTTAATTTTTTTACAAACTTATTGCAAATGTAAAATATTAGAATCCATAATTAAAAGTAGATACTATAAAATACTTTCAGACCTCCACAGAGGAGGCAGATCACTGAGGAGTGATGGTTAAGACCTGTAAGAATACAGTCCTGATTGTGTGATCTGTTATTGTGCATATGACCCCGGCAGTTAAACGTCAGTGAAAGTATCTTTGGTTACTTGGTTAGCTCTTCCTCTAACAGCTCACTGTGGCTGCTCCTTCTTGTTCCATTACTCCCTGACATATTTCAAACCGATCCACTCTTAAAAACTGTCAAAAATTGTCATTTTCTTGTTTTGTAGATACATTTTAGATGAACAATAGTGGGCTGCCAGCGTCAAGCTCACAGACAAACACTTTTTATTTCCTGTGACGACTACTGGTCAACCAATATGGGACTTTTAATGGCTGATGCCGATATTTACTGAGCAAAGCTACAGGCCTATTTAGAATGCTGATATCAAGACAAAGAAAAGTCATGTATAATTCAATTCTGTTCTACAGGAAATTCAGGCATATGTTTACCACAGGAGAGTTGTAGTACAGGGGTCAAAACCAACCTTTTCAACACTTTCCCAAAAAGGAGGAAACATTGTTCCATAGCAGGCACACTGACCAGGCTGCCTGCAGATGTGTCTGGAGATATTTTTTGTATCAGCCTTGTGAGCACAAACATCGGCCAATACTGAGTAGTAGAAGGACCAGGAGGAGAGTTTTTCTCCAGTTAAATGCTTTAAATTTGAAGCTGTCGCAGCAGGAAGTATTCTGTTTGCATCAGAAGTGACTTAATACTGCTTTTTTCTGGGAATGTCCCCATTGATATTCAGTTTGTAATATTGTAAATATAAAAATACTTTCATCAATGGCTGTGCTGTGGACCAGATGGGTTGGATGTGGCCTGCGGGCCACCAGTAAACTATGAAAGTGAAAGATTTTGTCAGTGGAGACAAATGGCCAACGGGCTGATGTTTACCTTTACTAAACACCAACTATACTGTGATCTGACCTGAGAGTTTCCAGTGTAAAGTGTGGACTCTCCAATTCAACAGACAGCAGGTTCAGTCCTGAATCCTGCAGGTTGTTGTTACTCAGGTCCAGCTCTCTCAGACTAGAGGACTGGGAGCTGAGAACTGAGGACAGGACTTCACAGCTTCTCTCTGAGAGGTTACAGTCACTCAGTCTGAAAAGACAATAACAAAGAAAAAAACAAGCAGTTAATTGAAAAGTATTTAAGTAATAAAAAAGAAATCCAACTCTCTCTGTACTTACAGAGCTTTGTTGGAGGCTTTGACCACTGGCAGCAACCTCAGAAAAGCCTCCTCTGAAGCAGAGTATTTCTTCAGATCAAACACGTCCAGATCTTTTCCTGATGACAGTAAGATGAAGACCAGAGCTGACCACTGAGCAGGAGACAGTTTATCTGTGGAGAGACTTCCTGAACTCAGGTACCGTTGGATCTGATCCACTAGAGAACGATCATTCAGTTCATTCAGACAGTGGAACAAATTGATGCTTTTCTCTGCAGAGGGAGTCTCTTCGATCTTCTTCTTGATGTACTGGACTGTTTCCTGATTGGTCTGTGAGCTACTTCCTGTCTGTGTCAGCATACCTCGTAGGAGATTCTGATTGGTCTGCATTGAAAGACCCAAGAGGAAGCGGAGAAACAAGTCCAGGTGTCCATTTGGACTCTGTAAGGCCGTGTCCACAGCACTCTGGTGGAGATATTTTAGATTCTGTTTGTGTTTAAATAATTTAGACTTCAGGGATGTTGTTTGTTGTTCTGCCAGCAGATTGACTCCAGAGTTGATGAATGTCAGATGGACATGAAGAGCAGCCAGAAACTCCTGAACACTCAAGTGGACGAAGCAGAAGATCTTGTCCTGGTACAGTCCTCTCTCCTCTTTAAACATCTGTGTGAACACTCCTGAGTACACTGAGGCTGCTCTTAAATCGATGCCACACTCTGTCAGGTCTGATTCATAGAAGATCAGGTTGCCTTTCTGCAGCTGCTCAAAAGCCAGTTTTCCCAGCGACTCAATCATCTTCCTGTTCTCTTGACTCCAGTGTGGATCTGTCTCAGCTCCACCATCATACTTGACGTTCTTCAGTTTTGACTGAACCACCAGGAAGTGGATGTACATCTCAGTCAGGGTCTTGGGCAGCCCTCCTCCCTCTCTGGTCTTCAACACATCCTCCAGAACTGTAGCAGTGATCCAACAGAAGACTGGGATGTGGCACATGATGTGGACGCTTTGCGATGTCTTGATGTGGGAGATGATTCTGCTGGCCTGCTCCTGATCTCTGAACCTCTTCCTGAAGTACTCCTCCTTCTGTGGGTCAGTGAACCCTCTGACCTCTGTCACCATGTCAACACACTCAGGAGGGATCTGATTGGCTGCTGCAGGACGTGTGGTTATCCAAAGGTGAGCAGAGGGAAGCAGATTCCCCCTGATGAGGTTTGTCAGCAGCACATCCACTGAGCTGGACTCAGTGACATCAGTCAGGATCTCATTGTTATGGAAGTCCAGAGGAAGTCGACACTCATCCAGACCGTCAAAGATGAACACAACCTGGAACTCTTCAAACCTGCAGATTCCTGCTTCTTTGGTTTCAGTAAAGAAGTGATGAACAAGTTCCACCAAGCTGTACTTTTTCTCTTTCAGCACATTCAGCTCTCTGAAAGTGAATGGAAATGTGAACTGTATGTCCTGGTTGGCTTTGCCTTCAGCCCAGTCCAGAGTGAACTTCTGTGTTAAGACTGTTTTCCCAATGCCAGCCACTCCCTTTGTCATCACTGTTTTGATTGGCTGATCTCTTCCAGGTGAGGCTTTAAAGATGTCTTCTTGTCTAATTGTTGTTTCTGGTCTGTCTGGTTTCCTGAATGCTGTTTCAATCTGTCTGACCTCATGTTCATCATTGACCTCTGCAGTCCCTCCCTCTGTGATGTAGATCTCTGTGTAGATCTGGTTCAGACGGGTTGGGTTTCCTGCTTTAGCAATCCCCTCAAACACACACTGGAACTTCTTCTTCAGGTTAGATTTAAGTTTACGCTGACAAACTCCAGAATGACTTCCTGAATGAATACACAAACACAGTGGTTAATTAGTTAAACAAGTATTTCAGCATTTAATTTTCCATAAAGAACTTTTATCTGAATATAGTTTGGTCCATCTCTTGAGACATCAGTAAATGTCTCATTTATCCAGCGTGTTAAATCTTTAGAGAAATCCTCTTACTGCTCTGCAGACGGTCAGCCAGCTCCTCCTGCTTCATTCTCCTCAGGAAGTGCAGTGTGATCTTCAGAAATGCCTCTCTACTGCTCTTCCTCTTCTCCTCATCCTCACCATCCAACACCTGCTCACCTTCCTTTTGACTCTCTAAGCATTCTGGGTAATCTGAACTCAGAACATTCTGGATTGTCTTCAGCTCATTCTTCACAAAAGTGACAATGTTGTCCTCCAGCAGCTGGAAAAGAATATTATATGAATGACTCAATCAAAGTCAAAGCATGGAAGCAAACATTAGATCCATGTTGGACAGACTGACAATCCACTGGTCTAAAAAGTGCAGCATGGAGATTATTGTGAACACAATAGATGTAAAAGTAGTTGTTGTCCAAGTACATACCATAAATATGGAGTCCAGGTGTGTTGGATGCTGCTGGGCAGACTCACCACTGGGAACCTCTGAGCTCTCCTGGTCCACTCTGTGGAGGAATCATGAAGAATGAGCTCACATTATGTCTGTCCACACAGAGACAAACACAAGGTAAAGGTCCATGAAGTGATATTTGGATGTGAACAATGAATCTGATGACTCTGTAGTGGTAAAGGTTTACTAGTCCTGCTGATCCCACTGAGAATCGACAGCTCAGTGTTTAGTTTCAGCAGTCAGTTTGGTTCCTTCCCAACAGCTCTAACCACCCATAAAACACCCATCTGTATAGCTCTCCCTCCCTTACTGTACACTGCTGAAGGGCCCTGGAACAAGGCACAGAGAACCTCCAGCTAAAAACTGGAGATCTCACAACCGAGAGTCTGAAAAAAACACATAATTTTGTTTTCATCATCAGTTTTAAATCCTCACCTTTCATGAACAGAGTGGTGGCCATCTTTGAAGAATATAAGACGACCCTTAGAGTGGTCACTCTTCATGGACACACAGCTGGGTTCAGGTTCAGGACAGTCTGGTCTCTGATGGATCCTGATAGAAAGAAATTCATTAAAGCTCACATATTCAGAACCATTCTCACTGAATCAAAGACTTTGTGAAATGATGTGTAACTTGAAATGTTTGAATACAGGGCTGGACAATAAGAACAATGTCTTCAATTACTGACATTATGGACGTGTTACTGAACACAATTTACTGATGTCACAAACTTCAACACACTGTCTGAATTCCATATAATTAAAGTGAGAGCAGCTACAACATCTAACCAGCGAGCAATCAGTCCAGTCCAGAAGAGCAGAATGTGAAACTGGTCAGACTGGAATGAATCAGGACAAACATCAACAGTGAGCAACATGAGGAAGGAAATCTGCTCTGATTGATTCAAACACATTACTTATACATTTCTCATTATGAAGCTGAATGTTTCTCCTGGTACTGATTTGAGATCAGATTGTCCAGCCCTGTTTGAATACTGACAACTATGTACTTGCTCAGATAAATGTCTTTGTTTCAAATCAAACAAAGCCTTTGTAACATGGAGAAGAGTCATGGACAGTTAGAGATCCTCATCTCACCTCTGAGCTTTGGTCCTTGTGTCATGTTCCCCACACAGAGTGCTTTTAGAGGGAGGGACTCCCTCCTCTCTGTCCTCACACTGATTCATAGCAGAGCCCACACCTTTACACAAACACACAGCAACATTCAGCATACAGCTCATTCAGCTTAATACTAAATACGATCTGATCTGACAGTTTCCATGGCACAGTAGAAATGTTGTTGACACATTGAGCTGCAGTATCTAAGAAATAACGTTCACAATGCTCTTTAGTCTGTTGGATTGATTGAACACTAGAGGAATACATTTCATGTTTCTTTTTCACTTTTCACTTCTATTTGACTGACATTGAAAAGCTCTTGTTACTCTTTTTCCAAGTCTACTATATCAAGTCAGAGCATGCAGTGGCAGCTAGTCCAATAATCCAAAATCAGTCCTGTTACCTTGGCAGCTGCTGTTGAATTCACATCCACATCAGCTCCCAGAGACTTTCTACCTTCATCTGTAGAGGAAACACTGAGAGCAGAGCTGAAAGCATCAGTCCAATCACTGATCATGAACTCATTTAATACTTTACATAATTTCCCCTGTAAAGCTATCAGCTGCTTGTCCACTGATTGGCTGTTTCTCTCTGTTTTATCTCAGTGTCAGTTGAATCCCTTTGGCTTTTGATTGGTTTGGACCAAGTTCACTAACTTAAAAGTGAAGTGAAAACTAAACTATAAACTAAAACTTAGTGTTAAAAAATAATTTTAGTTCACTGAAATAAAGAAAAACTAGACTTTAAAGAAAAAGAAAAAGAACTCAAACGACATCGTGGACTTAAAATGTGCAGAAAATGTCTTTTTGTATTTGTAATTGAATACACTTTTTAAAAAATAGAGTCTTTAAAAGTTAGAAGTCTCATAAAAGTTATACCAGCTCAACATATGTTAGAGAGATTGTATTTAATAAAAGTTAAGCATAAACTTCCATTATTAAATCATGACTATTTATGAATTGTATAAAATAACTGAAACCAACTCAAACCTCTACTGAATGAGCTGCATACTTTAATGCTTGAATGACATCTGCATCTCAACGAAAACAAAATGGTGGAACATAAGAAGGTGTTCACACTGAATGATTTCTGCTCTTAATTCACTCTGTCTGCATTATAAAGAAACTCACATGAACTCCATCTTACAGGATCATAGTGGACTGACAGGGACACTGAGACCAGCTATAAACCTCACTGACCACCATCCAAACCTCCAGCCTCTGGAACTGCACGCTGAGCCCACTGTGATGTGTTTAAATGCCCTCTGATAACGTTTGTCTAAAAGGCTCTGAACTGTATTTCCATAACCTGCAAATGATTAAAGCCAGTCTATGTTCAAAATCAAAATTTAATACATCAATAGAGCCACATCAAAAACAACTACACTAATCCTTACCTTATAGACCGCTGATTCCATCATAATAATACACTGTCACAGAGTTTATAGAGTCACTGATTAACAGAGTAGAAATGGTCATTTGATCTATGAGAGCACTTTGACCAACAAACAAACATTAAATCTGAGCCCTCATAAAATAACTGAAGTATTAAAGTCCAAACTGAAGTCCAGTATCAGACTTCAATCTAAGGACTGTTTCTGTTTTATAGATTTATAGGTTTATTATGAGTCAATGTTCAAGTGAAAGAGAAGACAGACAGAAGCAACAGCAAGTTAGTAAGAATGAACAGACAGGTTTATCATTAGTCTGCAGTCTGATTTGATTTTTGTCTCATCAGGAAATAAAATCTGTTTCTACGTGAAGACTTTAAAGACAGCGAGCTGGAGTTCCAAGTATTTGTTGTCAGATCAACCTTTTGTAGGAGTCCTGTATCTGATTAGTGTTTGAGAGTAATATTCCTCTGAGCTCTAGGGGGCATATAAAGGCTGAGGCTGGGTTATATAATATATTTAATATTTTATAAACTATGCATGAGACTCTATTTGTCAGTTATTAGTTTTTATAATAATATTCATTATAAAACATTCACAATGTAGTTGACTTTACCTTGTAACCAACTATTTAGGTTATTATTTTTTCCAAGTGGAAATTCAGGTTCATGTCGGGCACGCACTGAATTTTTGGTCAGGTCTGATATTTTGGGCCCAATCAAAGCTCTAGTTCATGCTCATAAGCACAGATGTTGCTAATAGGAGCGAGGTAAACAGGGTTGACTTAACTGTAGTGAATAAGAGCTCATCTGTAGCAGCTACTGGCTACTGGTTGGGCTGAGTGGTTTAGTCGTGTGCTCGGACAAACTTGTACGTCTTTGTTCAGTATTTTCTTTGTATTTGTTCTGTGTTGAAACTGACAGACAGTACAGAGTATGGACACAAATAAAGTATCCTGTTGGTAAAGACTAAATATATATTTACATGTCTGAATAATTCAAGTGTAGTTATCGAAGACAGGAGGTCAACACATGAAGCAACAAGGAGCCGCTCGTCTGGGATGAAACATCAGAGCCTGTAAAGAATCAGTTCACTTACACAGTTTCTTCCCATGAGCTTCATCACTCTGCTGTCTGGACCAGGTCTGTGTAGAAAAGGAGTTTTGTGTTGAGTGGGACGATGCGCTCCATCAGGATGAAATGCTCTGTTTCTTCATCAGTCCTCTGTGTTTGCAGGCTGCACTCTGACACGGCATCACTCAGTTTATACGACTTCATGTGATCAAAGTTTAACTCACAGCAGCTTCCTGCTGCCACTGACTCATTGGAACAAACCTGAGAGCAGATAAACCTCTGTATCACTCAAACACTGTTAGTGGCTTTAATTTAACATATGAATTCACTTACAAGGTGACTGAATGTTCCCTTTCTTATCACCGTGTTTGCTTTTACTGATTATTCCTCTGCTGAATCTAATGACTTCTGTATTATTCATTGGATTTTGTTGCTGGCAAAAACACATATTCATAAATCTTCCAATCAAAAACTATAAAAAAAATTTAAATACTGTACTCTAAGAACAATAAAGTTTTTGAAACCCTAAATTGATCTACTTTATTCCATTTTTTTTTATATTCTTGTCCTGATGTCACTGTGATGTCACCATGTATGATGTCTGTCTTTGTTGTGCTTGTTTAATAAAGTTTTAAAGAAGGAAACCTGCTGGTTCACTCTGTTGGTAGTTGAATCTGTAACATGGCATCATATTTTATAAACTACTCACATGTTTTATCTGTAAAATCTGAACGTGTAAATGAACTGCTGCTGTGAGATAAATGAAGTGCAGTAAAAAGTACAATTGTCCCATTTTTTTCTGCCACTCTGTAACGTCTGCGTCAGATGTTTCTGTTGCTGGTTTAGAACAGTGTGTTCACAAATATTAGTATTATACCTCACACGGGGCACCATTTGTTGGGGATTACAATGGTTTAAAGTGGCACCAAACTATCAAAATTATCAATCATCAAAGATGGTAATGTCTGTGTCTGTGTGTCTTAGGGTGTGCATTAATGGTTGGTCAGACAAAAAGAAACAAATGAATGTCTGATTTTTTGCAACAGTCAGATCTGAAGTCACTCTAGATCCACATCATGTCGGACACTTCGGGACTATGACCAGTTGACACTGGAATCTGTAAAAGATCTGATAAGTATTAGATCTGAACAATAAATCTGAATGGAGTACTAAGGTGGGCCCTTAATTATTCAGAAAAAAACACCACCAAATAACCACCTGTGCCAGTGTGCA